TATTATTTTTAAAATATTTGTAGTTACTAAACATAAATAAATTAATCCTGTGCGTTTAGTCCCATGTTTTATCAGAAGTGCAGTTCATTACCTCAATTTAAGTACAGGTAAAAGAGTCCTTTAAAATTTGAAAAAATTAAATACTTCTAAACAACCATGGTTTTAATATATATAAATTAAATTCTTTATAAAGCCAATATGAGATACAATTCGGAAAACGTCTGCTTTCACAGACCTGAATCTTTACCCCCCTCTTGTTCTGTACAAAAAGAAGATAAGCGTTAAAGTGCACTGTGTAAGTTTATATAAACTACAAAGCTGCCAGTGTGCATGTATATACAGGAGCTCGGATCGGGGAGTTCCCGCCACCAACTGAGACCAAAACGTCTGTAATTCATCACCAATCGAGCTTCTAGGAAAAGAGAAATAATGAGATTTTAATTCTAATCTACGCATCTTCGGACAACTGGAAGCTGGAATCTGTCGCTGGTTCTGGGTTCACGTCATTAATAAAGTGACCTGCTTACCTGCGTAAATTATTTATAAATATGTTGGTTGAGTCAATATGCTACAAGCCAGAAGGTTGCGAGTTCGATTCTCAATGCGATCACTGGATTTTTCAATTTATCTAATTATTCCAGCCGCACTATGGCCCTAGGGTCGACTCAGTCTCTAACAGAAATGAGTACCAGGAATCTTCCTGAGAGGTAAAGGGCGCCCGGTGCCTAAGGCTGACAACCTTACCGCCATCTGTGAGCCGACAGTCTACAGAAAATGTGGGAGGCTCGACGTCCCGCAACACTATGGGCCTCCATGGCCTTTTACAGGGATAGCTTTACCTCTTTTTTTACATGGAAGTTAATTTTACATTTGTGATTTACATATCCACTTTACCCTCATTGCCTACTCAGCTCTCCCACTCATTATTACTGATACACATTTTCGGAACTATTCCTGGCAGTTACTGTACAATAGTAGTGGCTGAACAAATCCTGGAATGTAGGCCCATTCACAAGGCGTGAAAAAGCGGATGACTGTCACCAAGTTGTTAGGACCCATCATAGGCCGCGGTCAGATTGTAATACTCGACTGTCCTGATATGCTGAGACATAAAATATCTCAGTAACATATCCACGTTTTGATGTACTCTCTTAACTTCTTACCTGATTACAACACCCTTTCTACATGATCAGTGATTCGTCCCATTTTTTCTTTCACTGCTCGCTTCTTAGCCAATAATTCCACAGACCTGTTGCATTCTTTTGCTCGTAACTCATTATAACGCCTTACATATTATATTCTATTAATGTTATAAAATAATATCCGTACTAACTTCACTTTGAAAATCAAACCCCGAAATATATCGCGATGCAACCCCTGTGCTGCAGACCATAACTATCAGAATATATTCTTCTTCTGGACAAATAATTCGATGGTCCTTACAGGAATTCCTTCCCTTATATTTGCATAACCAGGTATGTTTATTTATCCTGTGATATAGTTATTTCAGTTTCAAGGAGATCGTACGGAAAGCTCTGCTTCGACAGACCAATAGTCTGTAGCGCAAGGGAGAATAAATTATCACATTGTTTTTACTAGCACAGATCCGGTCTAGAAAACCGAAATTAACGGCCGTGGGGATTCGTTGCACTGACCACGCGACACCCTCTAACCGCTAAAGTTTGCAGTCGCTCGTTCGGTATAGTTCGCTTGCGGACTAAAACTACGTTTTTTTTTTTTTTTTTTTTTTTTTTTTTTTTTTTTTTTTTTTTTTTTTTTTTTTTTTTTTTTTTTTTTTTTTTTTTTTTTTTTTTTTTTTTTTTTTTTTTTTTTTTTTTTTTTTTTTTTTTTTTTTTTTTTTTTTTTTTTTTTTTTTTTTTTTTTTTTTTTTTTTTTTTTTTTTTTTTTTTTTTTTTTTTTTTTTTTTTTTTTTTTTTTTTTTTTTTTTTTTTTTTTTTTTTTTTTTTTTTTTTTTTTTTTTTTTTTTTTTTTTTTTTTTTTTTTTTTTTTTTTTTTTTTTTTTTTTTTTTTTTTTTTTTTTTTTTTTTTTTTTTTTTTTTTTTTTTTTTTTTTTTTTTTTTTTTTTTTTTTTTTTTTTTTTTTTTTTTTTTTTTTTTTTTTTTTTTTTTTTTTTTTTTTTTTTTTTTTTTTTTTTTTTTTTTTTTTTTTTTTTTTTTTTTTTTTTTTTTTTTTTTTTTTTTTTTTTTTTTTTTTTTTTTTTTTTTTTTTTTTTTTTTTTTTTTTTTTTTTTTTTTTTTTTTTTTTTTTTTTTTTTTTTTTTTTTTTTTTTTTTTTTTTTTTTTTTTTTTTTTTTTTTTTTTTTTTTTTTTTTTTTTTTTTTTTTTTTTTTTTTTTTTTTTTTTTTTTTTTTTTTTTTTTTTTTTTTTTTTTTTTTTTTTTTTTTTTTTTTTTTTTTTTTTTTTTTTTTTTTTTTTTTTTTTTTTTTTTTTTTTTTTTTTTTTTTTTTTTTTTTTTTTTTTTTTTTTTTTTTTTTTTTTTTTTTTTTTTTTTTTTTTTTTTTTTTTTTTTTTTTTTTTTTTTTTTTTTTTTTTTTTTTTTTTTTTTTTTTTTTTTTTTTTTTTTTTTTTTTTTTTTTTTTTTTTTTTTTTTTTTTACTAAGACACTATTTCTGCGGCCACGATATTTGTGATCAGTGTAATTCTCCAGGCCATAAATTTTAAAACTTCACTCTAAAGTCTCTTTCATGTTAATCATTTGCGATTTCTGTATCAGAACTAAAACATTTCTACAGATTATCATAATTACTTTTGTGCTTTCTTCACCTGAGGTGACTACACCGAACGGAGGAAAAGAGTGCCAAGTTACTCTTTGTTACATGCTCCCTCTCTTAAGTCACCCAGTGGATTATAGTACACGATTTTTGACGATGATGTGGCATGTAGTTTGACGCTTTTATTTATATTTTACCCATCTTCCGTATTTATTGTATTTTTGCGTTTAGGAAATTATGTCTATTTCCGTTTACTTCGACAATATTTGCATCGAGGAACCCAACATAGTGGGTATTCTTTCGTATTCGGAAATAGAACCGATTACCAAAACATAATGGTTTTAATAAACTCCGACGATAGAAACATCCAGAATAATAATTTCAAGGACTAAGTTAGGGGTGGGATGTGCAGCTAGTTTGTCTGGTTGGCAGTATCATCAACTTAGGTAAGATTTTGTATTTCATAGACGTCAGATTGTAGATGTTGAATCCACGTCTCCCACTTGTACACAGAGGAAATGGAGGATACGTAATTAATATAAATTAAAAATATTAAGAACGCCAAAACGTATAACATATATATTTTGTTTATGGTAGTTAATTTATCGATAAAATTTTAAATAATAAAAATTACTTGAACTTACTGCACATCTCACCAGGCATTCAATATGTTAATTAAATTATTGCAATTTGATTTAATTAATACGTTATAGAGGACCGAACTGGAAAATGTTATCGGACCGAATTAAGCCCGAGGGTTCCCCTTACCAACGCCTGCATTGGGAGTTTACCTATGTATAACATTGAACTGGGAGAAAATAGAGTGTAATAAATTAACCGAATAAACAAACAAACAATGATCTTGCTCTTATTCCATGCCGAGTGATCAGGAATCAACAAATTTTCGCAAAATTTGCCACTCACACGAAAGTCGTGCTGGCCAGACATTTCTCTACAAGAGACACCGAGTCTGTCAGCTTATTGCAATAGCCCAAGCCAACTTATATCTATCAATGGTTCTACATTTGTTCTACTGGACTTTGGCCGCTTTTTCAGTTTCTTCATCATATACACAGTCGACAGGACTCCTCTGACGGGGGATCAACCCGTCCCAAGGCCACTACCAACACACAGAGCAGCACAAACACCGAATAAAAGTGCAGACATTCATGCCTTGAGTGGGATTTGAACCCCATGATTACAGCGGACAGTTCATGCCTTAGACCGCGTGGCTACTGTGATCGGCTCATACAAAATAAAGAATAAATAAAATACTGTCCCTTGTACTATATAATATGCATGCAATATATATTTTACGCTTCAAATTTACTTTTCGACTTCTGAAGATAAATGGAGAAAGATAAAGTAACTAATAAATTAAAAGACTTGTTCTACTCTCCGGCCTTTATTTTGCACTCGTAAAAGCAAGTGAATACATAGGCTTAACATCTATAGTACAGCTTGATTCAAAAGTCACGCAACCCGATACTAAGTGCTTAGTAATTTGAGACAAGGTGAATGAATATGATTGTGTGTTTAACATTTGCAACCCCATACCATCCCTGATCACTCACAGTCTCTGCTGGCCCTACGAGGCGATCAATGTTCAGGTACAGCGTATATTCATAATTGCACACTGTTTACAGCAAAACCATAAGCGTAATTCTAAAAACCAATTTAAGGGGACAAATCTCAATTCTCCTGTCCCACCTAAGATTACATTATTTCCAACCTACATTACATTAATAAAGTATTAATGTTGAGTTGTGCAACTTTTGAATCTGTCTATAGAAGCAAAGTCGTAAGTGAAAGTCTAACCTGTAATTACGCATTCTTTAAATGAAATACGTCAAATTTGTACTTAAAGAGGGGAGGTTGTATTTCCGCCCGTTTGTCTGTCCGCATGTTTCATCTTCAAAGTTACAAAATATAGTTAGATTAAACTGTATTTCGGTTTGTATCCATCAATTTAAACTCTTCATTTATATGAACCCTTAATTTGACATCATTATTTTTTAAAACGACCCATCATAGACTTAATGTCTGACAAAAAATATAGATCTTTTTAAGGTACACAATTTTTATTTCAAATATATTTCGATATAAATATTATTAAATAAAGTATGATGAAATATATTCTTTACTTTGGGCACTATATCTACATGGCGGCCAATTTTGTAACAGTTGATTTGTGTAAGCAGTACGCGAACATTAATACCAATAGGTTACTTGTACAAAATATCAAATAACGCTCATGAAAAATGTGTACCTGCAAATCGGAGGATGTCTGTCAGCTCTTGGTATTACTGACCTAAAACCCTTACGTGTGTTCTAGATCCGGGAGGACTGGAAGTACGTGGCCATGGTGATCGACAGGCTTCAACTGTACATCTTCTTCCTAGTGACCACTGCAGGAACCATCGGAATTCTCATGGACGCGCCGCATATATTCGAATATGTGGACCAAGACCGAATAATCGAGATTTATCGCGGGAAATGAGGATCCGTGGAGCTGATTTTTTATTGGATTCAATTATTTCCTTAGGAAATAAATCATATGGAACGCTTCTTCATTGAGAAGAGTTGTGTGTTGAATATGTTCAAGCGAAAGCCATTATATGACTCTAATGAAAATTTCAGCGCTCTTCGAGCACTCTGTATAGTGATATTCCATTGTTATATATATATAGTGAAACAAAAATTTGAAGCGAAACAAAGAAAATATAACAATCATGTCGCTAGCTATATTTGTTTCCGTGATGAATTTAAATCAACGACATGGGATTATACAAATTGTTTTATTTGTTAACAGTGGCAGTATACAAATATTTCGTGGTTAGAGAGATAAGCCTAACGATTGTTTTGGTCCCAGTTACGAGAATGAGGTGTTTTTTAAAAATCATTCCTTTAAATAGTTAAAAAATAATGAGTGTTTGGGACATACGCTGAAAAAACTGACAACTAAAATGTTTTCTCTGATGTAACCAGAAAGAAGTATGCTCAACATTACAAATGTATGAAGTAAATCTTAAATTCTATATGCACATATAATATTATGGAAGAAGGAAGTCTACAACATGTAAATTACCTTTTTCTCTATTGCTATAAGAACAAACGATGTATTATTAACAAATTGACTTCCTTTCATAGGTTCTGTAATTGTCATTGAATGTTCAAGTGTGGTAGAAGGACAGGTATAATCATAACATTATTATTTTTCTCTTTGTGGGCGCAGCATCACTAGAATATGGACACTATGATAGGTCACACTGTAGTTGCCTTGTTCGCCAAAATATGACCCCTCCCCCCTCCAAAAAATAAATTCGACAGGTACAAAGCTGCCGGTAAATAGAATTTACGGAAGTACTTGTTGAACACGCAAACACACCTGATTCGTGCTCAGTTCAATATCAACAATAAAAATAAAGAACGAACCTCCAGAACTGATAATACTCTCATTAACTTGTAATTCTGTAGTAATATGCGTGATGTGTATCTGTAAAAGCTAATTTTCGAGGCGTTTCTTTTTTTAAAATGAATTCTCCCATTTTTGGTAGAACATTAACGGAAACGTGTTTTTGGTATTCCTCCCTTGGGACATTATGTTAAACTGTGGTTTGAATAAGAATCTTTTTTTTTAATCAGTCACATGGACACCACTGTACCGTGGAAGAAGGTATCATTATTTTTCCGTTAAGCATTTTACCTGTTTCTGAAATACCATCAGCAGAAGGGTTGGAAGCTTCGTCATAAGGAGTAGCTCACCCGCATTCTACAATCATTAAAATACTTCTGTCTGTACCCTACTCAAAACACAATACCAGACTACAAAGGATGTATTCCATTATGTACTATGAATATTTCCAATGGCGTTCCTTGCAGTTTATCAAGCTCCCTTACAGCCTGCATATTTATTTATGGCCTTAAGTACAGTGGATTTTATAATGGGTCAGTATGACCGAAACCAGAGTTGTCCGCCAACTTTTAGTTACATTAAATTAAAAAAATAATCTACCCAACTCCTTAGGTTACATATGACTAGACATGACCCCCACATAAAGCGTTTGTATCATGCAAGGAATAATTAAGAAAATAGTTCTTAGGTGATTATTATCATCAGGCACACATAACATAATCGATTCCATGAAGTCAAAATAATCTGTTTCACTACCTGAAGTGTCAGAGACTTAATGCCACAGTTGCAGAATCCACATTCACAAGAAATGGCATATAAGGGGAGGTCGATTTGACCGAAACATGTAAAGGATGAAAAATTAAAAAACACAACCTTTATTAATCACACTGGGCGGTGGTTAAACATCTTACATGCAATTATTAATGTGAGGGACCAGGATGAACCATGTTAAGGGGAGGTGAAGTAAAGAAAGGCACTGTGAAGATATAAATGAGGTACAAGGATGTTAATTTTCAAGATCTTACCAAATATGTGGGATTATATGTAAAAAGGTTGTAAGAAAATCTTAATCACAGATACATTTATTTTTTATCTGTGACAAAAGATTGAATTTGACTCTAATTATATAAACTAGGAACCGAAATACTTCATGTTAAGCCCTGGTTAGGCATATTTGGCACACTTAAAAATGTTTCTTCTGTAGTATACGCATGTTGAAACAAATCAAACTTCTTAAAACAACAAATCCATATGTTAAATTTTTCCAGAGAATTATAATGTAGGGTTACTTGAATTACATACTTAAGATAAAAATGTTATCCAGTAAAACCAAAGGTCCTGAATTTGAAACCAGCCATGGAGACAATTTTTATTTTTTAGTTACTAATTAAATTATTTATATCAATTTATATGTCAGGTTATGTTCATAAACGAAAGACATTTCGCACTATTCAGGTATATCAAGTATCTTCTAACAAGAAAGGTAAAGTAAATAACTTTCACATCAAAGTCATATTCAGAATCACACAAAAGATCAAAATCCTCAGTTCCTTGGACAGCACACTCTACATTTTCATAATATTCATGATTGATTGGTGGGATTTGTTATAAAAGGTCTAGTAGATATTTAATCTTTTCTTTTGTCAGTGTCATTAGAATATAAAATTTCTAGGTCATTAATCTCATGCTCTTTGGATGTTCTTGGGAGCATTTAGTGAAGTCTGCTTCCATGAATTTCAGGTCTTCATTGAGACTCTGCTTCACTCTCAGTCTCCATTCTGAAATCTTCCTTTATTATGATCCCAGAAAGCTAGCTCATAACCATTCAACATTCAAAAAATCAACAGAGACATTTTTAGCTTGTTACATCTCTTTATAAATTTGTGCACAAAAAGAATCATCTTCTGCTTTCATCTGTGTGACAAATTAAGGCTGATTCTTCCTCACATGTTGAATTATCAACGTTGATGTACAAAAATTTTAAGATTGTATCTTTTATCTTCTTTATGACACTGATGTTCTTTCCAAAAAATGAAAAACCATCCAGAAATTAAGAGACAGTTCTGATCTGCTGAATGGAAATAACAGTACTTTTTCATTGTACAGCTGAGCATGATGACATTTTGAAATTCCTTCTGTATTCCTGGAACATGTTGCTATAGAATATGAGATGCTTAACAAATGATTGAAGTTTTGTCTTTCTGTGTTCCATTAAGCAAGAAGTGGCTTCTTCTACTCATCTGGAAGCAATGTTCTCACTCCAGAATACATGTATCCAGTGTTTATTATTTCACTGCACATCCTAGACTGTTTCTATTTAGACCCTGCCAGTGCTTGGGCTGCATGTTGGTAGTGTTTTTGCAAACTGAAGACCAGGAAAAACATATCAGTGGACTTTTTCTTTGCATTTTCCACATTTCCTTCTTGGTTTCTTTTGCCCTGTCAGCCTCCATAAAGAGTAATTCCTATGGAGCATAATTTTTTCCTTTTCTGTGTCATCATGGAGAGCTCTCAGTTCAGCATTGATTGCACTGCACTTATGAAAAGTGTATGTCTACAGATGACAGAAGTGCAGGTGTGAATTATTACTAAAATATGTCAACACACATAGAGCAACATAACTATTTTTCAGTGTTCTTTGCACTGTCTTTTTTGTACAAGAACTGATTTGGTCATCATAATACTTTATGGAAAGCACCTCATTTTGACATTGTCATGGCAGCTCTAGTGTGAAGCTTAAATTGACATTAATCTAATACCAAAGAGATTGGTCTAGGAATAAATATCTAGACTTGTATTAAGGGGATTCTCATGGGGCCATGCCATAGCTCAAGCAGTTAGTCTCTGGCTTCCCACCGTGGCGGCCCGGGTTCTATTCCGGGTCTGGTCAAGTGGGATTTGTGGTGGACAAAGTGGCGCTGGGGCAGGTTTTCTCCGAGTACTTCGGTTTCCCCTGCCAATCTTCATTCCACCAATTGCTCCACAATCACCCTCATGTATCATCTGGAGCTGATACAATAGGCCAGAAGTGGCCGCAGTACAAGGGACTTAGTCCCACCCCACTAGCAATAAAAAAAAGGGGGGATTCTCAATATGAATTTTTGCCAGGCCACCTGCTATCTTGACTTAGATTTTTCTTGTGTTTCCTCAGTCACTCCAGACCACTTCCAGATTAGTATCTTGAGTATACCAAGACTGCCTCCTTCCAAATCCTTTCTAATTCTTCACTTATTCATCTGTCATCCTACATCTGATGCTATATAGCTTCAATACTGAATGCATTATAAGATAACCTACTGTATCATTATACTGAAATCTTCTATTATTGGTGTATTTTGTGAGGAGTATACCTTCCTCTTTCATCCATAATTTTAATTTCTCCATGAATTTATTTTTCATGATATTTGTCATTTTACCACCACAGAATTGCTGAGTATCCTTTATGTAGAATGTACAGACATTCTCTTCATTTCCAGCTTTATATAATGTGTATACAATCATATATATTTTCTTCTGGAGTCTCCTGATATAATGTTTGCTCATTTTCATCGTTCCAATCATGTTCCATAATAAATACCAAATATAACTCGCAGTTTTCACTACAGAATCTTTCAAAAGTGCCTCTACTTCTTTCATGCTCTACATATACTTTGGACTGCAAACTTCAGCCACAACCCTATCTCTATAAATACTTGCATGGTCTGCTATCCTTGCTGGATATACATTCTCCTGGTCTGTCTGTGTCATGTACTGTTTTAGGAGGACCTTATGCATTTCAGTAGTTCCTTCTTCCTTAATCCCCTATTTACGTGTTTCTTGCCATCTGCATGTCCAGTCTAATTACATTATTATTTTCCCATTAGCCAGCTACTGTTATTGGATTCTATGTTCCTTATCTATAATAATAGTAATATTTAGCTATTTTATTGACAATAAAATATTGTCGCGTGTTTCCTAAGCAACACGGCATGAAATTGTGTGGGTTCTTGGATTTGAACAAATACCTTTATTGGACAGTCACTTTTACACTCACACTGACAGTTATTCTCCACTCATAACGTCCTTTAGACGTTTCTTCTTCAATGTTACAACTCTTCTGCTCTAGTCGGATAAGAATTCTTCTGTTCTAGTTGGATTAGAATTCTTTCCTGCTCAAGTCGAATACAAACTGAACTAGTCTCTTGTCGACTTTGGACTGTTACAACTTGCCCTCAGACTGAATAGGGAATACCTTGTCAAAGGGTTAATTTCACCCACTGCTATACAATGAATGTGGGAACATGTGTCTGCCTCAAACAATTTGTTTGTAATGGTGGTTACACCACTTTTAGACTTTCATTTCCGGGGCAACAATTTCCTAGGCTTCACTGCCTAGGAATTGCTAGCTGTTGTGTAGCAATGGATGCATTCTACTTCCAAATATTCTGGCCCTAGGTGGCACTCCACAATATATTCGTTCCAGAACTGATTCCTTGTATAGTTACAAAAACATTTTAGTATTAAGAGTACAGTCTTGTGGGTTGTAATGCCACATACTTATGTGAAACCCTGATGTTTCTAAGAAACAAACCACCTCCTACTTCAGGACTGATCAGTCAACCAAGTAAGAAAGGAGCAGAAGCAGGCAGCAACCTCAGACCATAAACTTCATAGTAGCAGGCATGCGAACCCAAGTCCAGCATATCAGTATTAGTAAGAAGTAAAAGTAAAGCTATCCCTGTACCAGGCCATGAAGGCCCATAAGGTTGTGAGACGTTGAAGGTCCCACATTATCTAGACAATTGGCTCAAAGATGGCGGTAAGGTTGTCAGCCTTACGCGCCAGCTGCGCTTTTCTACCCAGGAAAATTATTTAATTAATTCCTGGTACTCATTTCTGTTAGAGGCTGAGTGAACCCCATGGCCTAGTGCAGCTGGAAGGATTAGGTCAACTGAAAAAAATCCAATGACCTCATCGGGACTTGAACCCGGAACCTTCCGGCTTGTAGCATAGCCCCTCAACCAACTATGCTACCGCGTGCCCCCATATCAGTATTAAGTGTTATATATTTGTTAGTTTTTCCTTATGTATCTTAACCTGTTTATTATTCACTTCATGATGGAATTCAGTGATAATGGAACACTAGAACAAAAACATGGAGGGATTCCATACCTTCTACCTCAGAGCAACCTTTTGAAAACTGAAACCCCCTCTATTGTATATCTGACAGTTTACGAAATGCTCTTATATCTGGTATTGAAGTCACAGAATGAGAAAAAAAACTATTTACACATAGTGGCTGCCTAAACAACAAATTACTTGCAGTGCCAAACATGCTGAACCAAGAGAAGTATAACAGGTTCATGTTAAGCAAAATAATGATAAATCATTTCAGAAACAATGTCAACACAATTATGTTTATCTTCATTCTCACTGCATACAGGTACTATGAGAGATGTTGTTTTCATCACTGTCTGTTAAACAAGAGAATAACTCGAGGACATCCTAATCTTACAGGTTACTGTCCATCATCTTGCAGGGGCTTCAGCTTGCTTGGCCCTTAGAAACGAAATCATGGTATATGTACTAGAACTACATGTAGGTGGTAGAACATTACAGAGATGGATCTGAATACCTGTTTCCAGTAAACTTTCCTAGCATAAATTTGCCTTTAGGAGCTTTTCAACAACACAGTTGACCATAAGTAGGGAAGAACATAAATTTAGTATATGTGATCAACAGAACAGCCTATGCATCTTACCCATCATTCAAGCAGGCAGACCAAGGAGTACAGAAATCACTATTTGACAAGGTAACAAAAATTCTGAAAACCTGCAAAAGAAACAGATTTATCTGACACCAGAAGAAGTTATGGTAGACTAAAATGTTGTCTTTCTGATGGTCTTCTTAATGGAGGAATATCATGTGGACAGCTTTTACGCTGCCCATGTCTGTGCGACCCAAGTACCATTGAGGAGACTCAGAATGAAGGCTTCCTCTGAAACACGGCTGAGCCCGTTTCAGATCTCCAGCCGGGGAACACTGAGGAACACATCACAGACATGAAAGGCACTGCACTGCACAAAGTGGATAAAGAGGAATGCTTGACATTAACAGAAAATCCAAGGTGCTGCAGCTAACTAAGGAAACAACCACAATTACCAGTTGTTCATAAGGAGAACTAACACTTATAAAGAGTCCAGTAACAAACAGGTGTGTCTACCATAATGAGAAGAGAACCACTGACCTTGCCTGCAGTAAAATGACAGGGTAAGCATAGAGTATGAGGGAAGCACTCTACACCACAGCAGTCCATATATGCAAATATTTCTTTCAAAATATGCTACATGCTATGGATTGTACACACATCCACAAAGACCAGGGTACAGGAAGGACTGAGAAATATTGCAAACAGTGGGTGCAACAGATGAAATGTATCAAAGTTTAAAAGACATGTACAGAGAACACAGGAACAATGCAGAAAGTCACCGGAGAAACTATTAGGAATGCTGCAACACCACAGATGCAGATGCAACAGAAACTGAAATCCTGATTTATTGCATAGTGCCACACACACTCTGCAGCTTCATCAGGCAATGAAAACACAAACCGAAGAAGACATGAACCAGCATGCAAAATCTTTGAAGAATATTAGCCTCTGATTAAAATGAAGAAAGAAAGGCTCAATCATGACAAGCAAGAAATAATGACCACAGGAGCTTCCAAAAATGATCCTTTCCAAACCCTTACTACAAAGGCACCTCGATTCCCTTGAGACATCCCAATGTATTCATGGGAGGACCATTTCAGCATGGTACTGAGTGTAGACCAAACAGCTGCCAAAAAATGGAAAGACTGTTCTCTGGACTTGTTGATTTTCACAGAGCACAAAAGAGAACATACAACAGCAATGATACTGAAGGACATATTAGTGTAGAGTTGTGTCCAAATTGACAATATCACCATTTCAGAAAATATCATGCAGACTAATGGTGCGACCCACTTAACCCACAGTTGTTCAATATTGCAGCCACAGAGGCGGCACAAGTGATATAACAAGTCTTCAGGAACATAAAATTATATACGGGGTATACACAAAAGAATTGTGCGGTTTCAAAAGTTAATAAATATTTTATTTCTCAACTTACACAGTCACAATGCACACTGTCAGAAGCGGCAACTCTCCAAGTTTCTCATGCGTTAATTACAAACCTTCAATGTGTGCACCCTGGGTCACACGACACACATCCACACGGTAATCAAACTCATCCCAGACCCATTGTAGCATGTCCGCTGTAATGGCCTACAATGCATGCGTTATCCGATCATGAAGTTCATGGATGGACGTGGACAATGGTGGTATAATGAACCCCCAAAGAAAGAAATCGCACTGTGTAAGATTGGTGAATGGGATGGCCATGGGGGGAAGATTGTTTTCTCCATTTGCAGCAGAGTTTGATTACCGTGTGGATGTGCGTCGTGTGACCCAGGATGCACATATTGAAGGTTTGTAATTAACACATGAGAAACGTGTAGAGTTGCCATTTCTGATGGTGTGCATTGTGACCATGTAAGTTGAGAAATCAAATTTTTATTCACTTTTGAAACCACACCATTCTTTTGTGTATACACTGTATATAAGCAGATGATATGGTCCTCACATTGAAAGCTAGACAATGTTCCAAAAATCTTCCAATGCACCCTACAACTGTGGCCAGTACAAAAGAAAAACAGCCAACATGGTCCTTAAGAAACGATGAATACTTCCAACAGATGAATTCATCTATTGTTAGAGGCCATGCAGGAAGTAAAAAAGAAAACTGGGATTCTTGTCCCTGAATACAGCCAAGAAACTGTTTGCCACAAAAATCTCACTG